TTTGCTCGTCAGTATCTTGTCGTCTTTGACGCAGTCGTAAGTAGTAGTAGTAGTAGTAGTAGTAGTAGTAGTAGTAATAGTAGTAGTAGTTGTAGTAGTAGTAGTCGTCGTAGTAGTAGTAGCAGCAGCAGTAGTAGTATTAGTAGTAGCAGTAGTAGCAGCAGCAGCAGTAGTAGTAGTAGTAGTAGTAGCAGTAGTAGTAGTAGTAGTCGTAGTAGTAGTAGTAATAGTAATAGTAGTCGTAGTAGTAGTAGTAGTAGTTGTCGTCGTAGTCGTAGTCGTAGTAGTAGTAGTGGTAGTAGTAGTAGTAGTAGTAGTAGTAGTCGTAGAAGTAGTACTAGTACTAGTAGTAGTAGTAGTAATCGTAGTAGTAGTAGTAATATTAGTGGTGGAAGTGGTAGTAGCAATAATAGTCGTAGTAATAGTAATAGTAATAGTAGTAGTAGTAGTCGTAGTAGTAGTAACAGTGGTAGTAGTAGTAGTAGTAGTTAGTAGTAGTAGTAGTAGTAGTAGTAGTAGTAGTAGTAGTAGTAGTAGTAGCAGTAGTAGTAGTAGTAGTAGTAATAGTAGTAGTAGTAGTAATGAGAGTAGTAGTAGTAGTAGTAATGAGAATAGTAGTAGTAGTAGTAGTAGTAGTCGTAGCCGTAGTCGTAGTAGTAGTAGTAGTAGTAGTAGTAGTAGTAGTCGTAGTAGTAGTAGTAGTAGTAGTAGTAGTAGTAGTAGTAGTAGTAGTAGTAGTAGTAGTAGTAGTAATAGTAGTAGTAGTAGTAGTAGTAGTAGTAGTAGTAGTAGTAGTAGTAGTAGTACAAGTGCGCGGCCAACAAGACCTGGGATAATCCCAGGGGGTGCTGTTCGGTGATCCGATCGGATCGCTGGTCACAGCTGCTCTCATGCGCCCAGGAGGCAGCGGGAGAGACGGGCCAGCGCTGGTACTGCCACTGCGGGGCGCGCTACTCGACCTCCTACGGAGTCTGCATCGAGTTCATAGAGGAGGAGGCGAACCCGCCACGCGCGTACTACATGCACGCGGAGCATCCCGGGGAGGACACCCGCGACCTGAAGGCCCTGCTGCGCTACGACAAGCTCAAGAAGGAGGGGGTCACAATGCTCAGCGCGGTGGACCTTCTGCAGCACCTGCCCAAGGTAGACCCGATGGCGGTTGGCACCGTCTTCAAGCGCTATGCTCCACACCAGGCGCAATGGGAGGGCCACTATGTGCTGATGGAGGGGCCCACCTGGGAGAGCTTGCCCACGTTCGAGTGGGCCGACCTCTACGCGCAGGTCGCCTGGGGACTGAACGACCCCGAATGGGCGGGGTACAGCAAGAAGACGCGGAACAAAGCCAAGAGGGAGCGCCTGGAGATGGCGCACAGGGAATTGGCGCACTACGAGCGCCGCCACAGCCTGAAAGTGGGCAGCCTCTCGGGCGGCGGGGGTGGCACAGGGGTCGCCCCGCGCGCCGCCCCCGTTCGCAACGCCAGTGCCCCGCCAGCGAGCGGGGCCCGCGGCGGCGAGGGCCCGCCACCACCGCCAGCGGGAGTCCCGCCAGAGGCCGTGGCCATCATGGGCCCCCCGCCGCCGCCGCCGACGGCGCCCCCTGATGCGCCGCCGCCGCCGACCCACCCGCCACCGCGGGCGGACGTGCTCCCGCAGCAGGCCCCAAGCGCTGCAGCCCTGAACGTGGCCCTCGGTGAAGACCTCGAGCGCCAAATCTTTGGGCCCGCAGGGCAGGCGGGGGGCAGTGGCGACCTTGGCGGGGAGGCGCGGGCGCTGCCGTCGCAGGTCTTCGCCGCCATCGCGCAGGGAACAGGCCAGCAGGCCTGAGGGACAATGCCCAGCAGGTCCCAGGGCCTTGACAGGCCGCGTGAGTACATGCCAAATTGTCTACTTGCTGCTTTCTGTAGTGCGGCGGGCCCATAGCGGCGCCCCCACTCGCGTGGCGTCTCCTGTAGCCTGCGCCTAGGCTAGGCAAATGGCTACCTGTGCACTCTGCCACCTTGGCTCGCCAACTGGCTTGCCATCTCGGCCTCCTCGCGTTCACTTGCGCTCGTTGGCCTCGCTGGCGGTGCTGGGGCAGCCCCGTGTACTGCAGCGTCGCCGTCGGGCGCCTGGCCAGTTTGGCCTGCCATCCTGGCCTCATATCGCGCCTTCTTGCGCTAGTAGGCTTGGGTGGCGGTACTGGGGTCGCCCCGTGCGCTGCTGCGCTGTCGCCTGCGCCTTACTTTTTGCTGTAGGGACCAGCTGCCCTCGGCCAGGCGCCAGTTGCTGCGTGCACGTCAGACCAGCCCTTGGCTTGCCGCCACCCAGGCCCAGCCTCGCGTCTTCCCGCGCTAGTCAGCCTGGGTGGCGGTGCTGGGGTCGCCCCGTGTGCTGCTGTGCCGTTGCTGGCGCTTCACCCTGGGCTGTCGGCCCAACTGCCCACGGTGCGGGCGCATGACGTTGCACGCATGTCAGACCCGCCCGTTCACCCAGAAGAGGCGCGCGCTACATACTGGTAATGAGGAAGCCACAAGGACGCTCTTCCCTAGGTGGTTGAGCCGTGGTGATGTGGTGCACGAGACCAGTAGTAGTAGCAGTAGTAGTAGTAGTAGTAGTAGTAGTAGTAGTAGTAGTAGTAGTAATAGTAGTAGTAGTAGTAGTAGTAGTAGTAGTAGTAGTAGTAGTAGTACCAATAGTAGTAGCAGTAGTAGTAGAAGTAGTAGTCGTAGTAGTAGTAGTAGTAGTAGTAGTAGTAGTAGTAGTAGTAGTAGTAGTAGTAGTAGTAGTAGTAGTAGTAGTAGTAGTAGTAGTAGTAGTAGTAGTAGTAGTAGTAGTAGTAGTAGTAGTAGTAGTAGTAGTAGTAGTAGTAGTAGTAGTAGTAGTAGTAGTAGTAGTAGTAGTAGTAGTGTAGTAGTAGTAGTAGTAGTAGTAGTAGTAGTAGTAGTAGTCGTAGTAGTAGTAGTAGTAGTGTAGTAGTAGTAGTAGTAGTAGTAGTAGTAGTCGTAGTAGTCGTAGTAGTCGTAGTAGTCGTAGTAATAGTAGTAGTAGTAGTAGTAGTAGTAGTAGTAGTAGTAGTAGTAGTAGTAGTAGTACTAGTAGTAGTCGTAGTAGTAGTAGTAGTAGTAGTAGTAGTAGTAGTAGTAGTAGTAGTAGTAGTAGTAGTAGTAGTAGTAGTAGTAGTAGTAGTAGTAGTAGTAGTAGTGAAACCATAGTGCGGGTGGCGCGCGGGCAATGCTCGCCCCCCTTCCCCTCTTCCGCCCCCTTCGCATCGATGGGGTTGTTGCACGGTCATACCGGGGGGGCGTCGAGGGGAAATGATATCAACGAGCCTCAACAGCATTGGGTGACTACAGACGCGCGGGGTCAAACAACACGTGCTTCCCCCGTGTAGTATTTCTTTCTCGTGTAACCACTTACCATTGGGGTCTCGCGCTTCGTCGCGTCGTAGCTGCGGCTGCATAAACATCGATTTCGGCAGCCACTATGGCCACCTGATTTCCAAGGCTTCGATTTAGTTAACTAGATTCAAAAAGCAATCCTTTCAATGGCTGCTCGGGCATAATAGCCTTCAGGTGGCGATCGGGACCTCCTCAGAATTCCGCTCTCATACGTCCTTCCCTCAGGCACTCCTTCAGCACGTTGCGGTCCACATCTTTGTCTGCCCGTTGCTGTCTGCGCTTGCTCGGGAAGCGAAATATGCGTTCCAGTCCGATATCGATCCCCAAAAAGATATGGTCTCTATGTCCTCTCGCTTTGATGTCCTGCTGTTTGTTTCGCAACTCCTCTCAATGCAGCGCATCTTCGCACATGTGGTAAAGCTCCCGTCGGTAGCGCTACGCGACCAAGTTTGCTCGTCAGTATCTTGTCGTCTTTGACGCAGTAGTAAGCTGGCCCACGACCGAAGAAGGCGGTGACAACTGACAATAGGCTGTGGACACAAAACTCCCTGAAAGCTGCGCCGTTGTCCTTTTCCACCTCTTGAGCCACCGGCCCCAATGCCGCTGCACATTTGCCCGAGCTGTGCCTGCGTACCACCAAGTCCCTATCGCCGTTCTGTGCATTCCCAAGAGGTTTTTGATGTCCCCGCCCCCCACTATGATAATAGATCTGCCGCCTGTGTCGTCACGTCGTTCCTCCACCCACTTCATATTTTTGGAGATCATCCCATTGTCCGTGTACCCTTTTCTTCTGGCGGTCAACACGTAGCAAATATTGTGGCGTCTTGAACTCTCTCGTGCGCAGTCTCACCCCCGCTGCTCGTCCTTGCAGTTGCGCCAGTGGTGTGTACTGTGCGTGGAAATTGTTGTCCTCCATCATCTCCCTGGACACGTGCCGCATGCCCTAGTAATCCATTCCCCCTTTTTGCCCCGAACTGCAATGCCACATGGTGTCTACGATTCGTCTTCTTCATCTGCTCTGGCCCTGCCAACTGATGCGCCCCTGCCAGCACAATCGCATCCCACTCTCGTAATGCACTGCAGATCTCTTCCAGCCCGTCCGTGGCACTCGCCGCCAATCGGTTGTAAAATGCCAGCTTCATCAATGCACATACCGAGAACATTGCGACCGCCATCTATCTCCCATGCCCCCCCAGTTCCTTTCTGGCCCGTGCAAGTGCGGTGCGGTAGTCGTGCAAGACAGTTTCAGGAAAATCCTCTCCGTCGGTTCTCAAAGTGCCTGAGCCTCCAACGCCGACCAGGAGGAGGAGGAGGAGGAGGAGGAGGACGAGGAGGAGGAGGAGGACGAGGAGAAGGAGGAGGACGAGGAGGAGGAAGAGGAGCAGGAGGAGCAGGAGGGAGACGCCGAGCAGTGCTCTATTCCGAACGAAACCCAACACACGAGGGTTGGGAACAAACGCTAGAAAGAGAGGAAGGACGACTAGGCGGACGAGGGGAGGAACACGCAGCAGCAGCAACACGTATAATGGGGGGAAGAGCGAGAGAGAGGCTCAGATGGCTTGCAATTCTGCTGCCGAGTGCGCGGGCACTGGCAGCTGGCGTGGGGATCGGATTCCCCCCTGCCTGCGCAAGCTTCGCGTTCCTGCGCACCGTCGCCACGTTGCCCTCTGGCATCATGATCACCTTGATCGGGCCTTTCCTGGCACGGGATCATCGCCCGGAGATGGGCAATGGTGTTGAACACTGCTGAAGGTAGCGTTTCTTGTGGAGGGGGGTCCGGGGGGACCTCCCTTATCCACCCGAACGCCAGCCCTTAGGAGGGTTTTGTTGGGTGGTCCACGGTATGAGGGGGAGATTTGGCGGAGTCCAGGGGGGGGAACGAAAACATGTGTTACATATCCTCGAAACAAATCCTTCAAAAATTCGGTTCAGGGGGTATGGGACAGAAACCCGTAATCCCTCCAAAAACCCCGGTTCAGAATTTTGCTATTGTGGGGAATCTGGGGGGAGAAAATCACCGAATCCGCTCAAACGACTTCCTCTCCCGTTTTTTGAGGTATGCGGAATTGGGTCACACTATATCTTCAGGTCGGAAGTTTCTCTTATAGGGCCCAGAACGACGGTTTCTCTTATAAGATACCCGTCGTCGGATTCAATCAAATTTTTGCGGATCCAACTTTGGTTTCGACTTGCGTTTCGGTGGATCCGTTTTCCGCCCGCACGGATCCGATTTCGGATGTTGTGGATCCGACTCCCGTCCTGTTGTTGTCCACGCGGATTCGATTTCTACCCCGTGTGAAAAATCTAGCGTATTGACTGTATACTATTCTATTTAAGCGTGGAGCCCTAAGAAATCGGATCCGCAGACGCCGCAACCGCAACCCGCCCGTTTTAACAGTCTACGGGGGAGGGGGTTTGGCTATCAATTTCCCAGGATGGGTCCTGCGCTGTCTCGCACCATCCAATCAACTCTCCGCGCGCGCGGGCCCGAGTCAACATGAATACATATCTCTCCTCCTAGCTGCAAACAGCTCGTCCTCGTCCAATCGTCGTGTGTGTGACGGCATCGATGTTGTCTCGCGAACTCCTCATCGCCGTTTTCACCTCAAGAGGCAACTTTTTCGTCCTGCGTAAGTATGCCCTGTATGGGGCTCTCCGACATTAAGGTAGAGGTGCACAGAGGGCCCTGGTTCAGGCCTGTGCTATGGGAGATCACGAAATTTAAACATCTATCCCTGCCCTGCAACCTCATCGGTTCAGGCTGAATCAGGGGCGGAACTCAAAATACCAACAAACACGCGGGTAGGAAACTCGCACTTACCCACCTCGCCTGCAGGCGTAACCGTTCAGCCGAAACACCTCCTAGCTCCTCTGTCTGCTCTTTCCCTCCTCCTCCCACCCTCCTCACTGTCTCCTCCTCCCCATCCCCCCACCGCCTCCTCCTTCTTCGCCCGGCCTGATCCTCCCTCGTTGCCTTTGCCCTCCGCCTCCCCCCTTTCCTTCCCTCCACATCTCCCGCCTGTCCTTCTCCCATTCCTCCCCTGAGGAGGAGGAGGAGGAGGAGGAGGAGGAGGAGGAGGAGGAGGAGGAGGAGGAGGAGGAGGGTCCAGTGGGGCCCCGAGGCCGGCCAAAGCGGGCCGCATGCCGACTCCAGAACGGACCCGGCTGGAGGGGGACCTCCGCCTCCCGCAAGGCCTTGGGAGGGCTCGGAGCCGACATCCCATCCGACGAGCCCCCCTCGCACCCTGCGCGGAGACACATCGTGTCCTGCACCGTGTCCGTATCTCTGCACTGGCTGCGGCCTAGATGCGCGAGCGCTCCGCGCCAACACCTCGAGGCACACGGGAACCTGCTCGGTTTGCACCACCCAAGCCCGCTCAGGAGACCAGAGGTGCACCGCGCAGGGCCGCTCAGAGCTCCAGGACAACTCCTGTTTTGGAGGCGCCCTCCAAACAGAATTCGACCTGGAACCTCAAAAACACAGTGTTATTATTGAGGCGCCTCCAAAACAAATCCTGTCATGGAGTTTGCTCTGGAAATTGTTCTGGAGCTTGCGAAAACGAGTTCGGCATGCCAATGGCGAGTCTGGAGTAGTGGTCCACGCGGCTCTTTGCCCTGGTGCAGCTCTGGAGAACGCCGGCGCGGTCAGCCCACGCCCCAACGGCCAGCCACCGAGACGTTTGCGCCTCTTCCTCGACCTCGTCAATTTCCTCAGCTCGTCTGTCCTCTGCTTCTCCTTCTTCTTCTCATTCTTCTTTGTCTTTGTTTCTGTCCCGTTTCTTCGCCTCCTCATTGTTTCCCTCGCCTCCTCCTCCTCCTCCTCCCAGACACCCGTTTCGCATTGTCTTCCACCTCCACCTAAAACAGATTGATCGGGAAGTGGATCGAAGATTTGAGCAATACCGTTCGGCAAGTGTTTGCATGTTCGGAGGACCGGCGCAGTGCGTCGACAAACTCACGAGAGCATCGCTTACATAGCACAGAAATCGAACCTCGCAGCGAGGAGGCCCCACATGTCCATGCATCATGCGTCGTTTCGTGCTCTTGCGAGGCACCCGACGACCCAGCCTCGATAGCGCATCATACGCGCGCACGCACACTTCTTCACATTTGCACATGCGAGGACCTCGTGGAATAATCCTCATGATGGGGCCACGTGTCCTAAAAATTGGCCCCTCCTACGTGGTCGTAAGCGGGGCAGTTGGACATTCCTATACCCTGTTATGCCCTAGTGTTGGGTGGCACCAGGCAAGATATGCCAGCTATCCCATTGAAGCTGCATTGTAAAACCAGCGTTGGGCACTATACTCGTGGTCGGTACGCCAAGTAGGGTCAACTGACCAAATTCGAACTCCCAAATGGGGCCGTAGTTTGAGCTCCCTTGAGGACACGATCCTCGTGAGGGGCACACCGAAATGAGCGAAGTGACGCCAAGTCAACTCCACCATTGGGGCCGCAGTTGGAGCTCCCTGTGGGGCACGATCCTCGTGAGGATGTGACGAATTCGGGCACGTGGCGCTACCCGGGTTCCCCTATTGGGGCTGCTGTTTCAACTCAATGTGGGGGACGATCTTCACGAGGTGACACTTTGCGGGTTCACCAACTGGGGTTGTAGTTCGAGACCCCTGTGGAGCAAGATCCTCATCAGGGTGTGCCAAATTAGGCGGTGAGCGTGAAGTGGTCCCCTGAGAAACTGACAAGACAGCTGGCACTACCGCACTTCCGAAGCACGAAGCAACAAACGCGGCCCGAATTGTTGCACACATAGCAATTTCTGATAATAGCTTATGTCGTAGAGATGGGACGCCAACATAGACGGCGTAAGCTCTACACCCCACGTAGTATGGAGGGGAAGGGAGTGCGAAGTGCGAGCCAGCGCACGGTATTTGCATGATTGGGCGCAAGGACCACGTTCAGCCTGCGAAGGCAGTGCAGCAGTCGACAGAGGCGAGACTGGCGCCTGTGCGTGAATGCCACTGGCGCAAGAGACAGGGTGGCGAGAGATGGAAGGGAGTCAGGGAGCAGCCTGCGCCGCTCGGAGGGGCTGGCTCCGCCTCCGGCGGACGTTCCAAAGACACGCGGACGACCTCGGCGGCCACTTCATGGCCGGCGGCGCAGTCCTCGACATGCGGATCGTCTGGTGCGCCTGCGCCCCACGGGGGGGCCTCGTCGGCTTCCTCGATCAGGGTCACGGGTAGCTCCCGCATGGGCGTCGCGATCGGGGCCCGGGCGCCTGGCCGCGGCAGCCCGTCTCGGAGCCGCCGCGCAGCCTCTACGTTGTGGCGGCGGTGCTCCGCTGGATCCCACCTCGGGTTCTCCTCCAGGACGCGCGGCTGCAGCCGCAAGAGCAGCTCGTCTCCCGGGCGCATCCGATGATCAGAGGCCGAATACCCACTAGGTCGACGCTTGCGGCCCTGACCCACCTGTTGGCGCAGCGGGCGTGGCGGTGAACATGCGTCCATTCCTCGGGAACCTCTGGCACGCTCTTCGTCTGCAAGGTCGCGCAGAGAGCCGGCGCCGTGACCATCACCCGGGAGCGCGACATGGACCCAGTTCTGGAAGCCGGCCCCCGTCGGTGCCTCGGCGGCGCCCCCCTCGTCGCGTCGCCTTCCCATCGGGCTGGCAGCGCGCGCGGAGTGGGGCCGCCAGCGTCGGGGGCCGTCGAGGTCGGGGGCGTGCTCAACGCCCCGCCCTGCCAAGGGGGCGCGGGCGGCCTGGCCCCCCCTCCTCGCGGGTGCCCGCGGGCCTCGGGGCGGCGTCGGCTACCCCCCCCTGCCGAGGGGGGCGGGTCCTCCGCCTTCGGGGGTAGACAGCCCGACTCCCAGTAGCGCTTCGCCGCCCACGGGTATTACAATAATGCGGCGCGAGATCTGGGCGCAGGGCGGGCTGCCCCGCCCCCATATCTTTCGGGCGGTGCCGACGGGCCCCGGTCCATCGGATCTGGCGGCGGGCACGTCCCGTCGCTGGAGAGGCGCATCCATGCTGGCCTGAGCCGTCTGGGGGGTTCTGCGGCTCCGTGTGGTTTTCCTCGTCGAGGTGGATGTCCACGGCCTCCCCTTCGGCCTCCTGGGCTCCTGGCCAGGCTCGGGCGCGGCGGGGGCCCCCTTGACCTTGCGCCGGCGGGGGGCCCGTCCGCGGGTCGTGAGTTCTGCAGCGCCCGCCTCCAAGGCGTGGTCGGGACTCTTCCCGCAGTGCTTGAACTTCTTCGTGGCCGTCGGCGGCTTGGAACTTTGCGCAGTATCGCTCGGCTCGGGCCCCGACGCTCCTCAGGCCTCGAGGGGCTAGGCGCCGGCGGCCCTCTGCGCGGCAGCGGGCCCGCGGCGCAGCGGGGGGGCGGCGGCTGGGGGGGGCGGCCGCGGCGGCGGCCCCTCCAGCGGCTGGCTCTGCGGCAGCGCGCGGGGGCGGGGGCTCTGGCAGCTCTCGCCCTCGCCGCCCAGCGCCCATGCAGGACGCCGCCGCGGCGAGCCCTCGGCTCTGGCTCTCTCCAGCCGCTCCCGCAAAAAGCGCCCATTCCTCGCGCTTCTCGTTGTCCTCCGGGAGACGGCAGTCCAGTCCCCCGCCCGCGCGGCCGCCGGCTGCGGCGACTCGGGCTGGGTGAGCGCCGCGGCGATCGCCCAGCCGCCGTCGGCCCCCCGTGCATCCCCCGCGCCTCCTGCGCCAGCAGCGGTCGGACAGCCAGCCCTGGGGCCTGCGGGCCCACGATCAGGACTTCTCGCAGGCATCCCGCCCCCAGCAGCAGCGCGGGGGCAGGGTCGCTCTCCCTGAACAGCTTCTCGGCGCCGCCCTCGGCGTCGAGCCAGTGGCCAACCAGCCAGGGCGGGCCCTCGCGGCTCGCCTAGCAGCTGCCCGCGGCTCCCGCTTGAACGCCCCATGATATCTAGCCTTCCATCCGATGCTGGGGGGGGGGGACCTTGTGCGCGGGCACGCGGCATGCCGCCATCGGGGGCGCGAAGACCCGCAGCTGCCCCGACCGCGTGAACCACTCCTCCGCCGGCGGCGTCTCGCCCCGCGCGGCCAGGATCCACGCCATCCGCTGGGCGATGGTTTTCCTGAGCTCGGAGAGTATTGCTCCATCCGCACTGGCCTTCCATCCTCGTCCTCGCAGCAGTGCCAGCACTCGCGCGGAGGCAGCGCCAGGTGGGACATCCAGAAGCAGACCCTGGGGCCCCCGAGCCTCGGCGTGGGCGAGCACCTCGGCCGGCCCCGCGGGCGCGCTATCCCGAGGCGGCTAGCAACTCGCGCGGCGCCTGCCTGACGACCTCGTCCAGGTCGGTGGTGGGCTGCCTGACAAGCAAACTGCCAGCCGGTGCGCCGAGGGCCAAGGCGCCTTGGCGGTAGCCCCCAAGCGTCGCGTTCACCTCGAGGACAGCCAACAGGGTCGCGAGCGTCCGCGGCTCCAGTGCCAAGCAGGTTCCGCCCTCTCGCTGGGCGCGGAGCTGCGCCGCGACCTGCCAAGCCTCGCAGTCCGCGAGCGCGCTCGCGTGAACGCGCCGCGAATGCCCGGCCTCCACGTGCTCCTCCCGCGATGGCTGGACGTCCAGCCTCGTGAAGCCCATGGCCGCCATCCGCCTCTCCACCTCCGCGTCGGTCTCCTGGGAGATCATGTCGCCTGTGCCGTCGTGCTTGGCGTTGTTGGAGGGTGCAAGCAGTTTAAAGCCCAACCTCGTCTCGAGGTATTCCAGCAGCCTCGTCAAATGCCTGACCGTGCGGTTGCAAGGGCGTCGCTTGCGGATCCAGCTGCGAACGTTCTGGTTGTCCCCGACATTGATCGCCAGGCGGTCCCTCCAGTCCTTGCCTCGCAGGGCGGCGGGGCTGACCACACAGAAGAACCCGTTTGGGGCGAGAATCAGCTCATACCCGTCCAACCCACACTGGCTTGCAGGGCGTCCAGGTATGCCTGGTATTCTTGCCGAGCATAGCAGCGCGCGCCCCGCTTGACCTGGCTGGCGTGCCCCATCGTGGCATCACCTCCGAGCCATATCACGCGCTCGGCCACGCCTGAGAGGGCGAGGCGCTCACGCGGGCTACGGAGGCCCTCAAGCGCCGCGACAAACAACGCCTCCAAGGCCTCGGGCCTGGCCAACAACAACCACATCAGCTCCACGCTGTCCCACATGTCACGATACTTGGCCTCGACCTCCGCCGGGGTGCCCCGCGGGCAAACGTACGGCGCGCCTGGAGTGACCTGTGCCGGCAGCTGGTCAGCCGCCACGAGCTCCGTCTTGAGGGCCGGCTGAACGGCGGCCATGTGCGTCCCGAAACCCCTCAGTTGAAAATTCTCCCCACCCTTCCCCCTCGGGCCTAGGACACGCCGCCTGGCGAAACGCGCGGGCTATGCCCAACACTATATGCGCGCATCTCTCTGTCTCTCTCTCTCTCTCTCTCTTTGGGGGCACTGCCAGGCTGCAATTCGCACACATTCCCCCCGCCCTCTGGCAACCGACCTCCCAGGACCCCAAGGGGAGGACCCCAGGGGGCGGCGGGTGTGGATTCACTTGGGCCCCAGAAGGGGCCCGAAGACATCGGTCCACAGACTCCCAAAAGGTCCAGGAAGATCGGTGCCCTGGGAGGTGGGCGCGCACGAGAGCCCCAGCCTGAGAGGCACGCTCGAACCCTCATCCGCCCTTGCTGGCGCCGCCCGTCCCTCTTCCAGCCGCACGGGCAGGGCGCGTCCTCGTATTCCTCATGAGCGTCAGCTTGACGTCGTCCCGGTCGGTGGAGCCCATCACGATATTGACGATGTCCTCCCCAGGTGGAAGCGGGCGGGAGGTCTGAGCTGGCTGGACCCCGAGAGAATACGTCAAGAGGAAGGGGGAGATCCGATCAGCATCGGTCCCCGACCCCTCCCAGGGTCCATCTGGTGCAATTGTTCACCCCGGACCCGGGAACCGAACGCGGCCCCCGGAGGCCAAAAAGAGCAATTAACTTTCCAGAAGACCCGCGCCCCCGCCTTCCTTCGAGTAGGACATCGACAGCAGAATTGATGCACCCCAAAAATTGCATGATCATTCTGTCTGCGAGAAATGCATAAGACGTTTCGGGTATCTATCCGCAAATCTACATGTTTAGAAGGTTCGACAAACAATTGGGGGCACATCAATTCTGTAGTCGATCTCACACTCGGCTTCTGCTCGCTGGAACCAGTGCTAGGCCACCCCAGGCCCCTAGCCAGCTTCAACTTCACACAGTGTCGCGCCCCAGCTTCGCTCGCGAGCAGCGAGTGTATCCACATCCGCGCGGGGCCGAGGATGCGAATTATGTCTTCCACTCACGAGCCGCTCCGCGCGAGCGCCTGCTGCCCTGAGGAGGGGGCTGCGCTAAATTCGTGCGGCGTCGGCGCGCGCAACAGTCTGTGAGACCGCAACCGGCGGTAACCAGGTGAGAGCTCTACGAGGTTCCCGGCAAGAGGGCCCCGAGTCGCGGAACGATCGCCCCAGGATGCCCAAGATGGCCCCCAGACGGCTCAAGAGGCCTCGAAGACTCCCAAATAGGCCTCCAAGAAAGCCCTCAAAGGCCAGTATCACTGATTTTCCGTCGGTGTTTCAAGGATCTTGGCGTTCTCGCCTCGACGGCTTCCCGACGCTGCCAGACCGCCCCAAAGGCCCCCAAGACAGCCACAAGACGGCCTCCAAGAGGGCCCCACAACGGCCCAGGAGGGCCACACATAGGACAGCACAAGAGACGCCCGAAAACGCCCACGAGGGCCCCAAGACGGCCACAAAAGAAGCCTCAAAAGAGGGAATACAAACAGCCCCCGAAAGGCCCCAAGGGGCCCCCAAGAGGCCCAAAAGAGACCTCAAGAGGCCACCAAACGGCCCCAAAGAGGCGACCAAACTGCCTCCAAGAGGCCCCCGAGAAGCCTCCCGCGAGATCCCAACGAACATTCAATATGCTTCCATCACCACAATCCAGGCGCGGTGGCGGGAAGCGCCGACAACCATTAGACGCGGCCCGGCACAGAAACGGAAAGAGCGCTTCAGAAACAGAAACCGAAAATACTCACACCACCGTTCGTACTGGGAGCCTCGGCGTTGAGAGCTTGTTACGTCAACCCACGCTCTTGGGAGCCTTGGTGTTCAGAGATTGTTGCGTTGCCGCCCGTTCCTGAGCCATGGCTGGGCCTTGGTATCAGGAACTTGTTACGTCACCGCTCTCTGCTGGGAGCCTTGGTCTTATCAGCTTGTTTACGTCACCGTTCGCTCTTGGGAGCCTTGGTGTGAAGAGCTTTCAACGTGACCGATCGCCCTTTATTTGGCGTCTCTGGGCCTTCTCGGGAGTCCAGTTGGGGCCCTTGTAGAGCTCTTTTGGAGGCCTCCTGGGAACCTCTTGGGGGCCTCTTGGGGCGTCTTGGGGGGCTCTGGGGGCCTCCTCCTCGGAGCTTCTTGGGGCGAAAAGCTAGACTTTTCGGTTCGTGGTCCCCCTCTTGAGGCCCTCTTGGGCCGTCTTGGGCGCCTCTTGGGGCCGTCTTGGGGCCCTTTTGGGCTGTGTTGGGGGCATCTTGGGAGGCGCTTGGGCCGTCTTGGGGCGGTCTTGGGGCCTCTTGGACCGTCTTTGACGCCGCGAAAGCCGAAAAGCAGGGTATGCTAAAAATGTAGCTTTTTCCAATCGTAAATCAATGATTTTGGTCTCCTGGTGCCCTCTTGGGACGCCTCGTGGGGGCCTCTTGGGGCTTCTTGGGGGGCTCTTGGGGCCTCCTGGGGGAAGTCTCGGGGCGAAAAGCTAAACTTTTCGGTTCGTGGTCCCCCTCTTGGGGCCGTCTTGGGGCCCTCTTGGGCCGTCTTGGGCGCCTCTTGGGCCGTCTTGGGGAGCCTCTTGGGCAGTCTTGGGGCGGTCTTGGGGGCCTCTTGGGCCGTCGTCAACGCCGTGAAAGCCGAAAAGCCGTATGTGCTAAACATGTACGTTTTCCAAAAAGGAAAATCAATGATTCTGGCCTCTCGGGGCCCTCTTGGGACGCCCCTTGGGCGCCTCTTGGGGCGTCTGGGAGGCCTCTTGGGACGTCTTGGGGCTGTCTTGGGCGGTCTTGGGCTCTTCTGGGACGGAAAAGGGGAGAACCCGAAAAACATTCGAAAATCATAGGGAAAACCCGAAAACGGCCATTAACACTTATTCCCCCGGCCTACCCCCCTCCCCTGGAACCCCTCCCTTTAGGGGCTTCGCCCACACCAAAACGTCATCACTCGTACCTCGCTCTTTCCGTTACCTGGCCCGGCACAGAAACGGAAAGAGCGCTTCAGAAACAGAAACCGAAAATACTCACACCACCGTTCGTATTGGGAGCCTTGGCGTTGAGAGCTTGTTACGTCAACCCACGCTCTTGGGAGCCTTGGTGTTCAGAGATTGTTGCGATGCCGCCCGTTCCTGAGCCATGGCTGGGCCTTGGTGTCAAGAACTTGTTACGTCACCGCTCTCTGCTGGGAGCCTTGGTCTTATCAGCGTGTTTACTTCACCGTTCGCTCTTGGGAGGGAGCCTTGGTGTGAAGAGCTTTCAACGTGACCGATCGCTATTTATTTGTCGTCTCTGGGCCTTCTTGGGGGTCCAGTTGGGGCCGTTTTGGAGCCCTTGTGGGTGCCTCTTGGGGCTTCTTGGGGGGCTCTTGGGGCCTCCTGGGGGCTTCTTGGCGCGAAAGGCTAGACTTTTCGGTTCGTGGTCCCCCGCTTGGAGCCGCCTTGGGGCCCTCTTAGGCCGTTTTGGGAGCATCTTGGGAGCCTCTTGGGCCGTCTTGGGCGGTCTTGGGGGCCTCTTGGACCGTCTTCAACGCAGTGAAAGCCGAAACGCCGTGTATGCTAAAAATGAACGTTTTCCTATAGGAAAGCAATGATGTTGGCCTCCTGGTGGCCTCTTAGGACGCCTCTTGGGGGGCTCTTGGGGCCTCCTGGGAGCGTCTTGGGGCGGAAGGCTCGACTTGTCGGTTCGTGATCCCCCTCTTGGGGCCGTCTTGGGGCCCTCTTGGGCCGTCTTGGGCGTCTCCTGGGCCGTCTTGGGGCGGTCTTGGGGGCCTCTTGGGCCGTCGTCAATGCCTTTTAAGCAGAAAAACCGCATATACTGAAAATGTACGTTTCCCCTTGGAAAATCCATGATGTTGGCCTCTTGGGGCCCTGCCCCCAAGAGGCCTCCCAGACTGCCCAAGAACCCTCAAAGAGTTCTTCCAGAAGGCCCGACGAGGCCCAAATCATTGATGTCCCATAGGTGTTCAACAGATGTTGGCATTTGCGCCTTGTCGGCCGTTCGACGGCCGAAGAGGTTTCCCAAGGTCGCCCCAAGCTCGCCCAAGAGGCCTCCAAGATGGCCGCATGACGGCTCAAGAGGCCCCCAAGACGGCGACATCCAAGACGTCCAAGATACTCTCCAAGACGGCCCTGAAGCGACCCAAGAGAGCCCCAAGTCGGTTCAGAGAGGGACCCAAGACGGCTTCCGACGGTGTCAGACGGGTCGGGAACGCCCTAAGACGGCCAAAGAGGCCTCCAAGAAGCCCCCAAAAGCCCCCAAGAAGCTCCCAAGAGGCCCAGGGAGGCTCCCAAGAGGCCTTCAAAAGGCTCCCAGGAAGCTCCGCAGAGGCCTCCCAAGAGGCCTCGCAAGACGGTTCCCAAGAAGTCTCCTCCTCATACTCTTCCTCCTTCCCCATCGTCCTCATCCTCATCCTCATCCCCATCCTCATCCTTCTCATCATCCTCCCTCTCCTGATCCTCCTCCGATTGCTCCCCCACGCGTTCCTCGAAGGCTTTCCAAACCGACTCGGGGAACAGCTGGCCCGATAGCTTGGCCAAGCTGTAGCCCAGCTGTCGGCCACACAGGCCATTAGGCGCTTCCACCTACGGGCGCGTGGCCGTATAGAGCGGTCGGCCTCTGGGGGCGACACTTGGGGGCGACGCTTGTGGGCGACACCTGGGGGGCGACACGGGGCCACACCTGCGGGCGACACCTGGGGGGTGCACTTGGGGGGGCTACACAGGGGCGCGACACTTGGGGTGGGTGCGTACACACGGGGCGACACTTGTGGGCTGCGCGTGGGGGCGGCACTTGAGGGCAGCACATGGCCACGCGGCCGCCCCTTCGGTCCTGTCCGCAAATGCGGGGTGTTACGCACTGCACACGTTCCCTCCTCCCCCTTCTCTTCGCGCTCGACCCCCTCCCAGTCCTGGTCGTCCTTCCTCCGCCCCTCCACCTCCCCCGTCCCACCTCCCTGCCTCCTTCCTCTGTCCTGCTCCTCCCCCTCCAACCCCTCTCTCCTTCCCCTCCCCCGGCGCACACCTCCCCAGCCCCCTCCTCTCATCCCACTGCCCGCCCCGCCCGACCCGACCGATGAAGCCTGCGCGACCCGATCCGACCACCGACTTGGCCCGCCGACCCGCCACGCGCCGACCCGCCCGAGATCGGGCCCCTATCCAAACGCCCGCCTCCGACGGCCTGAGATTTGGGCCCGCTCACCCGACCCGACCACCCGACTGAGGGTCGGCCCGACCCAGATGACGGGCGGCCCGAAAGACATCTCATCCCTGAGACTTCCCGCGCAGTCTCGATGATCCTCAGAACGTGTGTTAGCGCAAACGTGTGTTTGTACACCGAAGACTTCCAATGGGCCGCAGGCGGCGTAGTCGATGAGGGCCAACACGGGCCAGAGGTAAACACATGTTGGGCTAACACACGCCCGGAGGACCATGAACAATCGTGACGCCTGGAGCTCACACCAGCTGGACGGATGAAAATGTTGTTGTGCACGCAGACTCGGCAAACGCAGATCCACGCGCGTCGCCCAAATGCCAATGTCAGAGCCCGGAATCCGCTCAGTATCGTGATGCTACCTATCTGCATGCATTGCAATCCCGCTCCCCTCATCGACGGCAGCGTCTTCCGTGGCCTGGTCGTTGACGGCCATGACCCTTGAAGCACAAACATCACAGGAGAAATGACGCATGGGATGCAAAGTCTGTTAGCATGGACAAGACCTCTCATATGAGACGGCGAACTATCACTGATGGTCGGCGCCATAGTTTGCGCGGCATTGGCATTCTGACCAACGAGACAGCCTGGAAATATCGGCACTACCCAGGCGCGGTGGCTGGATGGGCCGAAGGCCACTATATCCGCCGCCCCCTTTTGATTTATCAAAGGGGTGCCTGGCGTGCCGAACTATATGACTTTTGGTTTTGGTTTTTTCCCAAAGAACTCCCCCTGGGGCTTCGGCCCGTCCCGCCGGGGTCCCGGGAGGATTGCCCGGGAGCTCAATTCTCCAAATGTTTCCTCCAAGACGGCTCAAGATGGCCCCCCATATGCCTCCAAAACGCCCAAGATGGCCTTCAAGACGGCTAAGATAGCCCCACTATGCCTCGAAGCCGGCCCAAGATCCACCTAAGACTGCCTAAGATGGCCTCAAAATGGCCCAAGATGGCCCAAGACGCCCCCAAGAGGCCTCCAAGACGGCTCAAGAGGCCTCCAAGACGTCCCCCAGGAAGGCCCGAAGAGGCCAAAACCATCGATTTCAATTTATGTTTGAAGGATTTTGGCATTTGCGCCTTCTCGGCTTTCCGACGGCCCTAGACGGCCCCAGAGGCTTCCAAGATCGCCCCAAAATCGCCCAAGAGGCCTCCAAGATGGCAACTATGACGGCCCAAGATCGCTCCCAAGAGTGCCCCAATAGGGCCCCAAGACGGCCCAAGAGGCCTCAAGACGCCCAAAATGGCCTCCAAGACGGCCCTGCAGCGCCCCAAGAGGGCCCCTAAGTCGGCACTCCAGAAGCCTCCTGGGCCTTCCTGGGGCCTCCAGTCCTGGAGCCTCCTGGAGCCTCCTGGGAGGATTCGCGCCCCATTCCTTTTTTGCATCGCCTGCGCGGCGCTCGCTGCGAGCACCGTCCGCTGTGGAGGCTCGGGCTGGCGGCAGCCATTCTTGTTGAACGACCCGCGAGAAAAATGCAGCGGCAAATCCCTCGAGCGTTGCCGCAGCCGAGCATCACGCTCCGCCAGGCCGCCTGCCCGTCTTGGGATCGCGGCCCTGGCGGATGCTCTCGATCTTGAGGTTCCTCAACCGCAAGGCGTTGCCCGACACCGCCTCGCAAGTCGTGCCCAGCGAGCGACACTTGCCTTTCACCTCCGTGGCGTAGGCTCTGCGTCTGGCGCGCGCTCTCTGTAGCCGCCCATGCTGATCAGCTGCGCTGCCAGAGCCCGCGGGCGCAGGGGAGTCAACCTGCATCCCGCTGCCGCTGTCCGAACGCAGCCGTCGGTCGTGGCGGGCGCTAGGCCGCGGGCGGCCGCAGGGTGGTCGGCCTGCGCGCTGCCTCGGGCGCCGCTGAGGGGCCGGTCTGCCTACAGCGCGCGGCTGCAGGGGCGTCGTCCTGCACGCCACTGGCCTCTGCCTCGAGGTGCCTAGCTGCCGCCAGCGCCACAACCGCAGCACCAGCCGCGGGGAGAGCCGAGGCCGCCGGCCTGCGGCGTGCGCCGCTGACGTCGGCGGCGAAGGGCTTCGGAACACACGGGTCGCCCATCAGACTCTTGGCCCCTGGGCCGCGAAGGCCGACCTGAGGCAGACCCTGCAGTGAGTGCCTCCGCCTGTCAGCTTGATGGGGTCGTGCCTGGTGATGGACAGCTGTGGCCCCTTGCGCTGCTCGTGAAAGCCGACGTCCACGTCGAGCTTCAAGTCGGCAGCCTCGCAACCAGCCCTGGCCACCCAGAAGACCACCCCGTCCAGCGTGAGCGCGCGTCGCTGCCACGCCTGCCGGAGGTCGCTCGGGGCCCGCGCCGCACCAGCCACAAACTTCGCGCACCTGTCAGCCCCCATGCTGCCGCGGCGGCCCCTGGCAGAGATAGCGCCCCATCGCGCGCATCCTTCACCGTCGCATGCGCCTTGACCTTCAGGGTGGCAAGGCCACCGTCGCCAATGCCGCCGTAGTCGTCTAGGGCCTGCCACGCCGTCTTCCAGACGCAGCCCCACGCGGCAGCGGCCTTCGTAGTGCCAGCGGGTCTTCTTCCCAGGAGCCCCATTCGCAACGCGCGCCGCGTCGAAGGCAGCCGTGATCGGGGGGGGGGAGGGCGTGCTTGGGGATCGCCAGCAGGCCGAGGAGCTCGGCGCCGTCGATCGACTGCAGCGGCCCTGGCAGCGGCGCCCCCAGCGCCTTGATCGCCGATTTTGGGCCAAGATCCCAATCGGCTCCACCGCGCGGCAGCTCGGCGATACCGCAGGCCGACGCTGCCAGCGATAGCGCAGCCTCGTAGACCGCACCGTCCGAGTAGAGCGCAGCGCTCGCGAAAGGGAATCCATCGCAGCCCTTGATCCACTGCGCGTGCGCCAGCAGGTCGTCGCCGGGCGGCCGCCACTGGTGCAGTGGCTCTGGCAGCAGAAGTCGCTCTACGAGCGCGCGGATCGTCGCGCTGCTGCCGAAGGGGACGAGCCTCGCAATCTCCGCAAGCAGAGTGAAGGAAGGCCAGCTGCCCTCGCAGCCTGTGCGCCGATGCCATAGAGTACCAGGCTCGCCAGGGTGTAGTTGGCAGCGCGGCGAGCGCGCCAGCCTGGGCGCCTCCACGCACCGCCGGTCTTCCGGCCACTGGCCGTTCACCACCGCTGAGCGAATGTAGCCCCGCTGGTTGTTGTTGAGCGGCCCCCACTTCCTCGCCCGGTGAGTGCTGCCCTTTCCGTTGCAAACCCAGCGCCTGATGCGAGACATGAAAGCGCCGTGAGCAATGTCCTCACGAATGGTCTCGGCCACTTGCTGAAGCTGCCACGCCTTCACGTCTGCCGCGAGCACCTGCTTGAAGTGCCAGGGCGAGGTCTCCAGCAAGTGAATGACGTCGCCGTTCGGCATGATGATCTGATCGAGGGCCCTGGGGTCGTAGCCAACCCCGCGGAGCGTCATCGCCGTCGCCCCAATCGGCCCACGAATCTGCGGCCAGGAGCTGACGGCGCCCGCTGCCCAAGCGAACGCGGGCCGCAGTTGGCTCAGAGGTACCCAGTCTTTCCAGACCACCCTGGCTAAGGCGAAGCAAGGGGCCAAGGTCGCAAGGAAAATAATACCAATAGTCACGGATCCGCCGATCACCAAGCACGCCGTGAGCGACTTGCCCTGGGGCCTGATCGCGCGCGCCTGCCGAAGTTCGGACTGGTTCAGCCCTGTGCAGTTCACTCCGTAGAGGAGGCTCGGCGCCATGCCCGTGGAAGCGATCTTCGCCGCCGCAGCCCTGGCGCGCCGAAGCCCGAGCAGCCGCCGAACCCGATGGAGACGAACGCGGTTGTGCGCGATCCTCTGCCTCCTGATGTTGCGGGTGCGCCTGCCGCCCTCGGCGTGGTCAATGCCGAGGTTGCGCGCCTGCCTGACGCCGACCGCCCCCGCAGCTTTGCCCAGGGGCGCCTGTAGCTGGGAGCGAAGGTCATTGCTGCTTGCCAGTGCCCTGGACTACTTGACCGCAATCTTTAGCCTTACCTTCGCAACTCCCTTGACCACAGCCCCCGCCGCCTGCGCGAGGTCCTTGGCTACGCGCTCGGCGCCGCCCCAGCGCTGCAGAACCGCGTCGTCGACGACGACCGCAGGGGCCACCGAAGGGCAGGCGATCCGCATGGCGCCCAAGGGCGCGAGGAGCATCCCCTTCACGAATGCGGCGGCGAACGCGTCGCCCGCCAGCCCCGTCTGCATCGCCGCCATCTCGCCAGAGCAGCAGTTCGCAAGGCTGACCACGCGCGGGAGCGAGTAGAGAGAAATCTGCAGCTTCGCAAGCCAGAAGGGAAAGTCGTGCCCCGCGCGCGTCTGCAGTAAGTTGCCGCGAGCGACCTGCTCAAAGGCCTTCCACAAGTCCATTGTGATCGAAGCTGAGGCCCAGTCTTGATATGAGCGAAGTGCGCCCATCATCTGCGCCCACTCCGCTCGCGCTCGTTGCTGCCGGACCGCCCTGTCGCAGCTCTTGCCCGAGCTCGCCCGCTAATGCGGCCCGTCGTGCTCGAGCTCCCACAGCCCGGCGATCCCTCTGCGGAGCCTGCCGTGGACGCGCGCGACTGCCCCCGAGAGAGCTATGGGCCGGAGACCTCCGTCTGCCTCGGGTATGAACGCGAGCCTGGCAATGAAGGCTGGCCAGTCGCACATCAGCTCGATGGCCGCGACGAGGTCAATCAGCGCCCCCACCCCCTCGTCGCCCAGAACTCCGGGCTCGCGCGGTCTCAGGGGGTCGAGGGAGGAGCCGCTGGACCCCTTGAAGGCGCTGATCGCCCCCTAATCTCAGCGACGGTGGGGCGGGAGGGTCGCTCGCCAAGATCCGCTGGCCAGGCGAGCTCTGCCTTCGCGATCGCATCGCCAGCGGGCTTGGGGGCCCCGGTTCCTCAATGCCCTGACCACTCCTGCGCCGGGGCTTTGCCCGCATCAGAGAGCGCGCGGGGCCCCCCCTCGCCAGGCCCCCTGGGCCGAGGCTGCCAGCCTTGGGGAGGTTTTGGTCCGAGGATGTAGGGCCCCCGTGCCTTTGCTGCGATTCTCCGCAACCCAGTCGGCGAAGCAGGCCTTCGCCTTGTCGACGCCCCTCTGCACGAGATGGTCGGCCATGGCTTCCGCGATGTAGCTCGCCGCCTGCAGCTGGTAGATGCCCATGCGGATGGCCGGCTGCGCAAAGCCCAGAAGAGCTGCGCGCGCCTGCCCAGTCCCCTGCCTGCCGTCGCGCGAGAAGTCGGGCTGAGATCGGCATGACTTGTCTAACGCGCCGAGCGCGCAGAGCCGCTCGCGGGGAAAACCGACCTGAGCGGCGTCCTTCAGCGCGATGGCCGCGCTCCTGTTCCAGGACGTGGCGGCCGTGAGCCGCGGGGGCCGCGGCGGCGAGGGCTTCGGGCCCCCCGCGAAGGTCAGCGTCGGCCGCTGAACCCTGCCCGCCTAAGTGTGGTAGTCGTGCTTCAGCCCAATGGCGTCTAACACATACCT